ATTCCTCTTCTTCAATCTAGCCATGCAACTTGGTGCTTCTCTTTCCTCTTCTGCCTCTATATGCTTTTCGTAAGGAACCTCATTTCTTTCTGTGCCTTCACCTATCACATCTCTAACTGTAGGTAACATTCCTCTGAACTCCAAGTCCGTAAGTTAACTGTTGACAGAACAATTCCACTTAGCTGCTCCAGGTGCCAAATGAAATGTCCAAAGTGGAATTAGTGAGTCTCCTGTTCTGTGGGTGAGAGTCTCTGCTTCCCTCTGGTATTCTCACTCTTAGGGACTGAGGCACCAAAAGCAGAATCCTGGGAGTGATCCATATCCCTGGCTTCTCATTAATGCCTTGCACACATCTGTCAGCTTCTTTCTAACAACCCTTGTATTTGGCCCTTCTCTCCAACCCCACAACCACTACCTTAATAGCTAGCCATTACCATTTCTCACTGGAATTTCCGCTATAGCCACCAAACAGGTCCTTCTGCTTCTAGCCGCACACTTCACATCTACTAATCTCACACTCCTGTGTATCCTCAGCACCAAGAACAGTGTCTGGCCCATAGCAGACATGCAATAAATATTTACTGAATGAATGAACAAATAGATGAATTCCTATCCTCATAGAGTTTATAGTCCAGCCAAGAGATTGACATCAAATAAGTGAGCCCACTAGATGCTGGGGAGATTCCCATGCAGCATTCTTGGCTCTTGAAGATGTATTGGAGCCCTGATTGGTCAAGTGCTGACTGGCTTTGGTTACATTTCATAGAAGGGCCAAGAGACCAGGGGAGGAAGATAATTTACACAAATGAGACCCAAGAGAACAAACACATCAGCTAATCCTTCTTCTCTCTGTTAATGACCCATTAATTTACAATGATACATAAGCTGCCATCATGATTTGGGCAAAGAAGAGTGAACCAAGTTAGCTAGGAAAGAGTTGGGAGTAACAGAATAAAATGGAACAAGGCTTATTCATATGTGTTAGTTTTTCTAAACTTCTTACAGATAATTGTGAGTTTAAATGCAGTTGTAAGAAATAATACAGAGAGATTTCCCCCTAATGGTAACATCTTGTATAACTATACACAATTATAATACAATATCACATCCAGGAAATTAATATACAATCCACCTACCTTAGTTTTACATGCACTAATTTTTGTGTGCATGTGCATACCTGTATTTAGTTCTATGCAATTTAATGTCACCTCTTTTTTTTTTCTTTGGTGGGGGGAGGTAATTAGGTTTACTTATTTATTCTTAGAGGAAGTACTGGAGATTGAACCCAGGACCTCATGCATGCTAAGTCTATCACTTGAGCTATACCCTCCCCCCTAGTTCTATGCAATTTAATATCACTTGTGTAGATTTGTGTGACCACCTTCACAGTCAAGAACGAAATAGTTCTATCACAAGGATTCCTCATAGTACCTACACTTTTAATAGCCACACCTACTTCTCTCAAAACCCCACACTCTCCTTAATCCCTGGCAACCACTAAACTGATCTCCGTCTTTGTAATTTTGTCATTTCAAGGTTGTATAAATGGTATCATACAATAACTTTTTGAGATTACTTTCTTTTCATGCAGCATAATTCCCTTGAGAGCCATTGAAGCTGTATTTATCAGTGGTCGTTCCTTTTTTTTGAGTAGTGTTTTATAGTATGAATACCGCAGTTTAAGCATTCGTTCATTAAAGAATCTATGTTTTTTCCAGTTTGGAGTTAGTATGAATGAAGCTGTTATAAAAAATTGGGTACTGGTTTTTGTGTGAACATAAATCTTCATTTTTCCAGAATACATGTTTAATTTGGGCTGCTTTAACAAAATACAATACACTGGGTGGAAGCACATCACTTAACTGATTTCACTGGTTCACAGCTGGAGAGGATCTTTGCTATTTTATAATAAGGTTTGACTTATATCCATTGACCAATAATATCTTCATTTCCATCTGAGACCTCATTAGAATCATCTTTCGTGTCCAGATTTCTACCAACATTCTCTACATGATTATTTGTATTCTCTAAGAAGATGGAAACTTTCCCTACAGCTCTCCTCATTCCTTCCTGAGCCTCACTAGAATTACCTTAACAGTTCCTTCATGGAAATGTTGACTTTTTCTAGCAAGCATCAAAAATCACTACCAGCCTCTACCCATTAACCAGTTTAAAAGCCACTTACACATTTTTTAGGTATTTGTTACAGCTGCATCCCACTTCCCAGTATAAATTCTTGGGGTTTTTCCAGAGAAATAGAATAGGAGATAGATAATGAGATATATAAATAGACAGGTAGAATTTATCATGAGGAATTGGCTTATGTGATTATGGAGGCTGAGAAGGTCCATGATTTACTGTCTACATGCTGGAAACCCAGGAAAGCTGTAGTGTAGTTCCATTCCGGGTCTGAAGGCCTGAGAATCAGAGCAACAACGGTGTAAAAAATCTGTTCATGTTCTCTCCAAGTTCATTTTTCATATATCATAATAGGACTACATTTACTTAAAAGTAAATAGGGAGAAGGCAAAGGACAGCATCTGTTATCTAACTTATCTAACAAAGGGGGCTGTAAAGATACCTTGATGTCACCATGGATACAGAATAGCCTTATCCTCAGATAAGAAAGTCTCAGGTGTAGAAAAAGAGCAGTCCACCATAAAAGTTCTAAGGGGGAAAAAAGGGTGATGAATGCACACCAAAGCCCAGGACAGGACTGGAGCATCTACGTCAATGGAACTTACAGGATATCTCTCTGTTGTTGAGCATACATTTTGTGGGGCTTTCTTACATAAAAGTTCAGGCAAGAAGTGACTGACAACAACATAAAAGAATCAATTTTTATGTTATGGGCGTTACCTCATCTAATTTTTAAACTGTAATCTTGTCTTGTCTTTACATGCTCAGTGCTACAACATACTTCTTATTTTATAGACGAGGACAATGAGACTTAGAGAAAATAAATCCCTTACTCAAGATCACACAGATGTTAAGGGTCAAGGCCAGGATCCAAACCAAACCTCTGGCCTACTCTGAATCCTACATTCTTTCTCAATACCAAGGAACCACACTTTTTGCTGGCTTTCTTCCCTGACTTCATTATTTTTGCCAACAATCAACAGAATGAATCACATATTCATGATTGCCCTCATTAAAGCTATTTTCTCTTTCATCTGGCTGAAGATCTTAACATTTTCTTCATTAGCAAGAAAAGAAAATGGTTAATGAGAGTTTTTCTTAACTGAAATGATTCTCAAGATTGAAAAGCATTAAGCCTTGCTCAAAATACAGGGCTACAATCAGAATCTGTGAAGATGGTTCTATCTAACCGTAAAGAGACCATTTTTTTCTCCTTTTCATTACTGATATTCATCCTTCATTTGGCTTTAGTACCATCAGGTAGGTCTGATTTTTTTAATTACATATTAAACAATGTCTAGAACTTTGCTGGGCAATGCAGTAGCCACTAGCCACGGGTGGCTGTTGAGCACTTGAAATGTGCCTAATCCTAAATGAGATATGCCAAAAGCGTAAAATACACATTGGACTTTGATTAGTATGAAAAAGAGAAAATATCTCATTAATATCTTTATATTAATAACATGTTGGAATGATGCCATTTGGATGTATGGCCTAAGTAAAATATATTATTAAAATTAACTTCACCTGTTTTTTACTCGTGTAACGTGCCTTCTAGAAAATTTATAATTACATAAGTGGCTTGTATTTGTGTCTCGCACTATATTTGATTGGGGACAGCACTGGTAGAAGATGGAAAAGAGGGGAGTTTCATTGAAAGGTACTTTCTTAAAATTTCGGATGGAAAGAGAAAAGGGAAGAGAGTACAGCTTGGTCAGGGTGTGACCTACTGTGATCAAAAACCTACTGTGAATTGAGACGGGCGGGGGGCGGGCGGCGTGTTTTGATTCTGTTCCCATTCCCCTCTCCTTCGGCTAACGTAGCAGGTGGTAGAGCGTCTTCCAGAGCCCCCTTCCAGACCAGAGCCCTGGTCTCGGCTGGCGCGGGGTCATTGAACACACCTGCGCGCCCACGGAGGTGCGCGTCCGCGAGCCCTTGCGCCGGCTCCACGCCCCCTCCCCCCGTATTTTTATTTTCCTGGCATCAACCGTCAGTCTCGCACTTCTCTCTTGAGAACCATCGCGTAGGCCGCGGCCGCCGGCGGTAAGCGCCCCTCTCTGCCCTCAGCCCGGCCGGGGAGTCGAGGTGGCCCAGCCAGGCCTCCGCGGCGGGCAGGGCTGTCCAGCGGCCT